GAGCTAGAGCAAAATTGCACTGCGCCATTTGTGTTACTAACCAATTTGCTTTAGTGCTTGTTAGAAGTTTTAAATAGGCTATTCACCCTCCTCTAGTCATATTAGGACCTTTCACTCTCTCCTCTCTTCTAATCGTTACCCCACTCATTCATTGCTCACCAACCTTCATCCAAAATAGCTCCTAAGCATTCAAGGCGCCCCTCTCATCTCCCCTTTGCTCCAATCTTCTATTCGCCTAGGGTTTTGAGTGAAAGGAGAGTGGATTGAGTACGAGAATCACTTTGGCAAGCTTGAGCACTTGATTTCTTCGTCAAGCCGATTGGATTTGTGTCTATTATTCTTAGAGCTTTGCTCCTAGCTAGCTAGGCGTCACCCAAGAGCTTCCATCTCGTGGAAGAGCCTTGGAAAGTTTGTATTACCATTGATTTTTTAGTGGAAAGCTCAAGTGACCTTTGTGGTTGCCTTGAGAGAGGCAAGGAGCTGAAGAGACTCTGACCTTTGTGGTCACCTCAACAACGTGGACGTATGAGCTCCTTTGTAGGGTTACCGAACCTCGGGATAAATCCTTGTGTCCCGCGTGCTTGTTGTTGTTGGAATTTATGCTATCAAATTTGTTCTTGTCGGTTTCTCTTTCTCCCCAAAGTTTCTCTTAGGGTTTGGACTCGATCTACAGAGTGGTGACCTTCCAGCATCAAAGGAGCAACCCCAATGCTTCATCTTACCACCAGGAAGTGGGGGTGTAAGATATCTCGCACTCAAAGTTCATTTTAGCACTTGTAGTAAAATTCTTGTAAGTGCCGGAACTCCTGGCTATTTGCGTCAAAAGTTTCGATTATCAAAAGTTCTAGCTCAAACTGTCAGGACTTCCGACTGTTACTGACATTTGACTTTAAGATTACATAGAAATTTTTAGATACGCCTATCAGAAAGTATCTAACAATGCCTAGAGGGGGGTGAATAGACGTATCTAAAAATTAACTGCAAATGCTAAATTCAAATTTGCCAGTCAATGTCGGAAGTCCCGACGCCTACGTGAACTACAAAAGCAGTGTCAAATTTAACTTTGCAGATAAATAATCTTACAACCCCACTTCCTAGTGGTTTGGTGAAGATGTTGGGTCACTCCCTTGACGCCGAAATACCTCCAAACCATAGATCGAGTCCAAACCCTAAAATAAAGTTCAGGAGAGAGACAAACAAATGCAAGTAATCTCGAGCAAACACAACAACAAGCACACGGGACACAAGGATTTATCCCGAGGTTCGGCAACCCCACAAAGGAGCTCCTACGTCCTCGTTGTTGAGGTGACCACAAAGGTCGGAGTCTCTTTCACCTCCTTGACTCTCTCAAAGCAACCACAAAGGTCACTTGAGCTTTCCACTAAGAAATCAAGGGTAATACAAACTTTTTAAGGCTCTTTTCACAAGATGGAAGCTCTTGGGCAATGCCTATCCAGCTAGGGGCAAAGCCCCAAGAGTAATAGACGCAAATCCAACCTGCTTGACGAAGAAATCAAGTGCTCAAGCTTGCCAAAGTGATTCTCTCACTTAATCCACTCTCCTTTCACTCAAAACCCTAGGGAAATCGAAGATTGGAGCAAAGGGGAGAGGAGAGGGGTGCCTTGAATGCTTGGGAGCTATTTTGGACGAAGGTTGGTGAGTAGTGAATGAGTTGATAACGGTTACGAGTGAGGAGATGGCTATTTATACTCATAGTAGAAATCTAATCGTTCAGATCTACGTCGGAAGTCCCGACGCAGATCTCGAGACTTCCGACCTTAATAGAAAATACTATTCACATAGGGTCAAAGTTCGCACGAGCAAGTCAATGTCAGAACTTCCGACAAACGTCGGGACTTCCGACGGGCGCAGTCAGCCGATCAGCAAAACCCTAGGTGTCGGGACTCCCGACTTGGGTCGGGACTTCCGACGGCCACGGTCACGCGCAGGCTAAGTGACTGGGCGTCAGGACTTTCGGCGTGAGTCGTGACTTCCGACTGTCGAGAATTCTGGCGTACGTCGGGACTTCCGACACCAACAATCACTGAAAAATATTCTACGTGCTCGTGGAGTGCTAAAGTGTCTCTCTTTTGATTTTATTTTTATGCTTGAGCACTCTATCTTCCTAAGACCAACTAAGTTTGCATCCCTCTTTATAGTGCGGCGGATCCTAAACTCAAAAGCAAAATATAAAACCCTTGGAGAGCGCTTTGAGTTCGTCCGCCTTTACAACTTCAAGAACTGAGGGATACCATTTCATCTTTATCAACTCTTTGAATCTTTCATGGGACTAATAGCTACGACATATCTCATTAAGATCATATTAATCCCTAATTTGAATGTCATCAATACATCAAAACCCACATAGGAGGCAAATGCACTTTCACTATTCACCCCCTCTAGGCATTGTTTATATCCTTTCATAGACCCTATTCAAATTTAAATCATGTGAGTAAACTTCAAGTCACCTAAAACCCATAAAACCCCTCCACTATACAGGACAATCTTCACAAAGTGGATCCTCCTAACAACCAAGAGAAATTTGGCTTCGTACCCCTATTATATCGTGTCACTCGCACTAAAGCCTTGTCCCCATGCGTAACCACCATGGGAGAGGATGAAATTAATGGGATATACTTCGAGCTGTTCGACCGATAGTTTCTGTAGCTGATAAGCCGACTGATATTGATTAGTTGTAAGAGAAAAATACTATTTCATAATTAATAAGTTCAAGCGAACAGTGCGAGTGTAAGTCTGCTCGCACAATTGGGAAGAGGTAAAGAGATTGTTGTTAAAAGGGTCTCATATATACCAACTCATCTTACATGATTCTTCGTTGATGACGTGCAACATGCCATACAGCGAAGTTGAGTCTAAAAGATACTACGCGCATGTTTACTTGGCTGAATTTGGAAATTTGGACTACTATAGCACTTTCGTTTTTATTTGGCAATTAGTGTTCAATCATAGACTAATTAGGCTCAAAACATTCGTCTGGTAATTTTCAACTAAACTGTGTAATTAGTTTTTTTTATCTATATTTAATACTTTATACACGTATCACAAGATTTGATATGATGGATACTATAGCACTTTTTTAAAATTTGGAGTTGAAACTAAACACGCGCTACGTTCATCTACCGTCGTTATACCAAGGATAGGCAAAATTACCCGCACACCCCTAAAACGTTATTATAAGTTACATCTGATGCATAGTTAATGGATATGTTTCATACGTCCTGTCATTGGTATAGCCACCAATGCGCATGATAATTGATCACTCACCAGCACTTAAGTTTTTCATCTAGAACATGCATTATTTTTCCTTAAACAAATGAACCAGGACACTCTTTTCTGAGACATGATTCATTAATTGCTGGTACGTCTTGTCACTAGTTAGACTGATGACACTCATCTATCTAAAATGGTTTATAAGCCATGACTTATCAGCCAATGAACAATATTTTTCTTTCATATTAAATCAGTTAATAGTATTTTCAGCTATGGCTTATCAGCTAAATAAGCCCAAACAAATGGGACGCATAGTCTTAGGAGAAAGGGAGTAAGTTAATGACTTAAATAGTCTATCAACATGGTTGAGGGAGAAAATTGAGTGTCTGTTTAGTTCCTAAAATTTTGTAAATTTTTTCAAGATTTTTCGTCACATCGAATCTTTGGACGTATGTATAAAGCATTAAATATAAATAAAAAATAAAATTAATTATACAGTTTAGACGAAATTTATGAGATGAATCTTTTAAGCCTAATTAGACTATAACTGGACACTAATTGTCAAATAACAACGAAAGTGTTACAGTATCATTTTTCAAAAAAATTCGCCAACTAAACCAGACCTGAGTCAAACATAAAGTTCAAGGATGAAAATGTCAATTCAGCCAGAGAAAGAAAAAAACACTATATTGCCTTGACTAGGATGTACTAAGGTTGATAGTGACAGCTTCGTCCATCTTTTATCCTCACTGTCGAGCAAGAGTTCTAGTATATCGGTAGCCCTTATCAGGGTGTGTTTATTTCTTTAGCCGCTCCTAAAATTTATGTCACATTTAATGTTTAGATATTAATAAAGAGCATTAAATATAGATTAATTATAAAATCAATTATATAGATGGAGGCTAACTTGCGAGACGTTTTTTAAGCCTAATTAATCTGTTATTAGCACATGTTTACTGTAGCACCACGTTGTCAAATCATGGACTAATTAAGCTTAAAAGGTTTGTCTCGTAAATTAGTTGTAAGTTGTGCAATTAGTTTCGTAATTAATCTATATTTAATACTCCATACATATGTCTAAATATTTGATGTGACAAAAATTTTAGAAATGCGGTAACCAATCGGGGCCTTACTCTCTAGGCTTGCTCATTTCCTGGTAACACAAGTACCCAAATCTAGGGCCGTTTCAGGATTATTAGGCCTTGTTTAGATTGATGTTTGAAATTAGTATTTAATATCGTAGCATTTTCGTTTGTATTTGACAATTATTATCCAATTATGGCATAACTAGACTCAAAAGATTCGTCTCATAATTTATAATCAAACTATATAATTAGTTATTTTTTTATATATATTTAATACTATATATATATATGTCTAAAAATTTAATGTAACAGAGAGTGAAAAAACTTACGATCTAAACAAACTTTAGACGAGAAGAGTGTGGAAACGAAAGTACTACTACCAGGTCTATCAGCAGCCCCATTTTGTGGTAGGGAAAGCTACTCATTTTGTTCTCTTGTCCGAAACAGGGGTGCGCATTCAATTGCTTGCTTGCTTCCTCCGTTCCCCCACCTCCTCCCCTCCCCTGCTCTGCTCCCCCGAAGCAGCAAGCCAGTAGTGCGCCCCACACGCCGCACCCGCACCCGCACCCGCAGCCATCACCCACCTCCGCCGCTCCCCACCATGAATCCGATCCGCCAGCACGGCATCCTCCCCAATCCTCCTTCGTGACTGCCTGCCCCCCCGCGCGCCTCCCTCCGCGAGCAATGGAAGGAGGAGGCCGAGATGTGTTCCTAGGTCCGCCGCCGCAGCCGCCCTCTTGCCCGTTCCACGGATCCGCTACCGCCACCCGCTCCGGTGGGGCGCTGATGCTCAGCTTCTCCTCCTCCTCCAATGGCGCAGCAGGTGAGCGAGATGTTGCAGATCTTTTCCTTTTCTTTTTTCTTTTCGGGTTTCCGTGAGGAAGACACTGTTGCATCTGTGGGGGCAGTGCAATGCTCTGTCTGAGCTGAGCTGACCCGACCCCAGCTGTGATTGATTGATTGCTTGCTCATGGGTCACGGCCGGCCATGGCCATGGCATATCCCCTCCTCTGCAAAAGCCCGTGCCTTTGGGGTCTTGTCACGGGCAAAAGACGCGCATGTTCATTATTATTCCCCACTTCCCTTTTGCTTTCGCAAGCCCAGTATGTGTCCTCTGGCCCTAAAGATGCAATCTTTATCCTCTTTGTGCACATACCTCACCCGCGAAAAAGCTAAAGGGGTCACTGATTGGTGCTGGCTGCTTCCTTAAATCTTGCATGTGTGGGAACTAGGAGGCCATTGGTCACGGGCACTGTTTCTCCCCTACTGTTCCTGCTTCCTGTGCCCTCACCATCCCAGATTCCCAGTATTTGTTCTTTGTTATTACTGATGCTGTTCTTGTGATGAAGGGTTGGGTCTGTGCTCAGGTGCCAGCAAGATGCAGAGTGTGTTGTCGAGGGTGAGGGGGCCTTTCACTCCCACGCAGTGGATGGAGCTGGAGCACCAGGCCCTGATCTACAAGCACTTCGCTGTCAATGCCCCTGTGCCGTCAAGCTTGCTCCTCCCTATCAAAAGAAGCCTCAATCCATGGAGTAGCCTTGGCTCCAGCTCATGTAACTAGTCCTCTCTAACTCTCCTCTATTGTTGTCAATACCTGAATATAAGAATAGTGAAAGTAAGACATAAAACTGAGCAAGTAAAATGGTCAGCTAGGTGTAGATTTACTGTAAATCCAGTGCTCTGTTTCTTGTTTTGGCTTTATCTAGGATACGTGTGTTGTCATCGGTTCGTTTCAATAAGGCACATTGGAAAGTTACAAGTCTGGGCATAATAATAACAGTCTCAATGATTTACTAGTGTTGGAAACATGATTTTTTTAGATATAAAGCACTTGTTGCATTGGGATCTAGTTGTTCCTTATCTTTTCTGGAACAAGATGAAGAGTTGTCATCATTAGTCTGTAAGTCTGTTGTAATATAAGCATCTTCAGATGCAAACCTGGCCACTTGATGATGCTCTGAAGTTTTTACTGTTGTTGGGCTAGTGTCATTAAAACACATTTGGGGGGTTCTTTATTGCATTCTTATTTGTAATGGGGAATCTATTTTGCAGTAGGATGGGCACCATTTCGTTCTGGCTCTGGTGATGCAGAACCAGGTAGATGCCGCCCTTTGACAGATGGCAAAAAGTGGCGGTGCTCTAGAGATGCTGTTGGGGACCAAAAATACTGTGAGCGACACATAAAACGTGGTTGCCACCGTTCAAGAAAGCATGTGGAAGGCCGAAAGGTGACACCCACCATTGCAGATCCAACCATGGTTGTTTCTGGTGGTTCATTGTTGTACAGCCATGCTGTGGCTTGGCAGCAGCAGGGCAAAAGCTTAGCTGCTAATATGACTGATCCGTTCTCACTAGTGTCCAACAGGTGAAGTCACCTGATTACTATACTCTTTTCTGCCACTTAAGTTTGTGATTGATTATTTTCTCAACATAAATGTCATCTATGGTTCATACATGTGCCAGTCTAGCATTCAGGATTCAGGACATACCAAAACATTCAAAATGTTATATCTTTAGACATTCGAATTTTGTCGACATCCATTCATAATTAAACATTTCGATCTTGATTTCTTTCAATTGATCAGTGATTTCTTCATGTAGCCTGCCATTGACGCATTCCATCTTTTATACCCGTGCTCATTCCTATATATGAGATTTATTATTTTTGTCTGTTAAAACAACTATGGTAAGCAACTAAGCATGTACAAAGTGAGGCTGTAGGAAGCACTATAAATAACTGGGAAGATATGGTACTTATGCCTGTACGAACTTTAGAGATAGCTGAATTGTAGAATTCATGATACACTTCAAATTTTGATGACTTATTATACACAACAGTGATGGAAAAACAGGACAGTTCTTTCTTCCATGAACTTGAGATGTTGACTCTGGTTTGCAGGAATTTGCTGGATAAACAGAATATAGGCGACCAGTTCTCTGTATCCACTTCCATGGATTCCTTTGACTTATCAGCGTCACATTCTTCCCCAAACCATGACAAAGTAGCATTTTCACCGGTGGAGATACAACATGAACATGATCAGCTGTATCTTGTGCATGGAGCAGGCAGTTCAGCAGAACACGTTAACAAGTCTCAGGATGGTCAGCTACTGGTCTCCAGGGAAACAATTGATGATGGACCTCTAGGCGAGGTTTTCAAAGGCAAGAGTTGCCAGTCAGCATCTGCGGACATCTTAACTGATCAATGGACTTCAACTTGTGAGTTGCATTCTCCAACCGGAATCCTACAAATGTCTAGTAGCAACACAGTGCCAGTAGAGAACCACACAAGTAACAATAGCTATCTCATGGCGAGGATGGTGAATTCTCAGACGGTCCCAACACTCCACTAAGTGTTCATCAGGCTGGTCTTGTTGGGACCACAAATAACTGAAACCATGTTAATGTCATGAGTTTGCTGATACTAGGTTTTCAGTCAAGAGTCTTGTAACTTCTGTTTTAGTTGTTATATGTTCACGTTATGTTTTTGACGCAAATGTGTTCACGTGATGTTGCCTTTAATTTTCGGTTCAGGTGGGTGTACTAATAATTTATTTCCTTCTTCCCTGTAAAGGATTTGAATTCCAATCTGAGATTGGGTATTCATGTGGGTTTCCTAACATGGAGGTATTATGCATATTACGCACTTCTGGTTTCCATTAAAGTAAGATTCCTTTAAATTGTAGAAGCTGTATTTTGTTCAGGCTTTTCAAGTGCTATACTTGTGCTTGATGCAAATCTAGCTTGAGCTCAATTAAATTGTGAATGCATACTGAATCACAATACTTGAAGTTCATCTGAGACAAATGTGTCCTCATATAATCCTTCAATGATTCTAGAAAAGTGTTACACAGATTCGAGAGAAGATGATGCTATTGCGAAGGTGATGCAGAGCCAATTCTTGTATCCTGCAGCACATCCTGTTACTAATTATTTCCAACGTTTAACTTCTTGAAGATAAAATAAAAATCTCTGTATCACCAAGTCGTGGGTTCGAAGTAGCCTCTTCGTAGATTTTGTGGGGGGAAGGCTTGCCTGGTTTTTCCCTTCTTCAGACCCCACTCATGTGGGAGCCTCCGGCACTGGGTCTGCCCTTTTTTTTTGTATTGCAGGTTACATAAAAATCTTGTGTTAAAATAGATCCAGTGATCTGTAGTTTATAACTAGTTTCACATCAAGTGTGGGTGAGTGTACCTGGTAAAACAACCACCAATTCTTCCTTTGCAAGCCGGCAGCAGAAGTCCATATCATTTTTTATGCCTTGCAGTCAGGAGAGATCCAGTTTCACCTGTTGAAATTCACATGCCCATTAGCAAATGTCATTATGTCTTACAACATGGACCATGATGTATGTAGTTATTCACAAAGCATTACAAAGATGGAACACACAACATGGACCATGATGTATGTAGTTATTCACAAAGCATTACAAAGATGGAACACACTCAGGCTTACTTGGGCATGTGATGCGACTGATCCCCTTCAGCTTCCCAGTATATATCTCCGGACTGTCTTAGAACCTCAATGGTTTTGTCGAAGAATTCTTCTTTTGTGTTACAGTGAGTTGTGGAATTGCTCCCTGACAAACATATATAATTTGTGGAAGAGCTGATCATTCTGCATAATCTCTGAAGAAAATGACATGGCTGTTTTAGTAACCTGGACAAAAGTTGCAGGATCATATGAGATGTCAAGGCAACGCTTGACTCTGTCCACTACCTGGAAGATGAAAAAAATGATGAAGCATTGTTGGAGTGTAATTTCTGTAGTTTATTTAAGCTTCATACAATCCCAAAACCTGAAGAACTGAACAGGTTTGTCATTTCATCTGACACGTACTTTGTTTTGAATGAACTGTAAATTTATCAGAACTTCTGCTATTGATTATGCTATTATACATGTGCAAGCATTATGTGTGCGAAGAACCTTAGTTTTGTAGAATATGGACTGCTGTGATATGTCTGGAATTAGATATCTGTGAACTGCTGTGGTATCTGTTACTACTTACTATGCATGTATGTTGTCAAGTGTGAGCTGCAGGAAAAGCAGGTTCTGGATGCCGCGATTTCACACTACCCCTGTCTGAAAACTGACAGCGATAGAATAAATCACTGCCAGCTCAAATTATCCTTGCCTTAACAATATTTCAGAAACTCAATCAATACTGAACATACTTATAAAATTGCAGAAACAACATAATAAACCTGCACATTTCAATGGGACAGTGCACATACATATAAAATATATATTTGGAAGTCAGTATAACTGTGATTGCACTTTTGCAGCATCACAATCCAAAGACTTAATAATCATACAACTCTGCAACTAAGCCCTAGCTGATATGCTCACTGAATCACCATCATCGGATAACTTGGCTGACACAAGGCAAACAATAATCTAATCTAACTAGAGTACATCAACTACCTCAGTGTAACACTACAGTCATGTTCGCGTCTCTGCTGTAACATCTATCTATCGTCAGTCATCTTTGGCTCCTGCAAACCACGGCATCCTGAGCGCGGCAACGGCGGTCAGCCTGTCCATGGGGTTGTACTCGAGCAGACCTTGCAGAACGTCGAAGCCCGCCGGCGATAGCCGCTCCTCTGGCACCCTCTCGCGCAGCTTGCTGGGCCCCGAGACACCCAGTGGCATCAACGAGACGTCGTCTGGGATCCCTAGGAGGTTGACGATGCTGATCAGCTGCTGACACAAGTCTTCCTCCGGAAATAGCGGCTGCTCGGCTACGAGGTCCGCCATGATGCATCCGAGCGCCCACACGTCGACGGGCGTACCGCAGTCCTTCTCGCCCAGTAGCAGCTCCGGCGCCATGTACCCGGGCGTGCCTTCGGGATCCGTGTCGTCCGTGGGCGGCGGCGCGACCACGGACCTGGCGAGGCCCAGGTCGCAGATCTTGAGGCGGCCGTCTTCCGCGCCGACGAGCACGTTCCCGGGCTTGAGGTCACGGTGCACGACGCCGTGCGCGTGCATGGTCGAGACGCCGCCCAGCAGCTGCGCCATGACGCAGCGCGTCTCCGACTCCGAGAACTGGTAGTGGTGCCCGTGGCGGCGGCGGCGCGAGACGATGACGTCGTGGAGGCTCCGGCCGACGACGTACTCCATGACGAGGTGGAGGTCGTGCATGTCGGAGCCGCGCCCGCGCGCCACCTCCCTGAGCCGCACCACCACGGGGTTGCCCGCGCACGCGGCGAGCATGGCGGCCTCCCGCAGCAGCGCCGCCGCCGCCTCGCCGCCGGCCTGGAGGCTCGATTTGATGGCGACGAGCTCGCCGGACTCGACGTGCCGTGCCATCGAGACTGTGCCGTACCCGCCCTGGCCGATCTTCTTGAGGATCTTGTACGACGAGTCCACGACGCTGACCCGTGCTGCCTTGTCGTTCTTTTTTGCACCTGGTCGATCCTTAGATTCTTGCGCGTCGCGGGGGCGGCGTATTGGAGCCACGAGGACGGCCATCGTGGAGGTGGGGTGGACGACTGGTGGCGGCGGAAGAGAAAACGGGAGTAGGCGGCCCGATGGAGAGCGAGGTGCGGTTTTAATTATAGCTGCTGCTCAATTCGCATTACGTGCGGAATCCGACAAGGAAATGGAACGCCGTTGGAGGTATGTGCATGCAGATTTAACCTATGTGCATGCAGATTTAATTGGGTCAATCCGATGACCCAATACCCAATTATGTATAGTGGTCGGAAAAGACTATCACGGTATTGTTAGGTACTTTTATTTAATTTTAGGAAAGGACCACTACGGCATTTTTAAGATTTATTTAAGAAATCAGATTAATAAAAATTAGGCTAACGGACTTAAGGCTAGTACGGTAATTTCTGTTACATACATTACTAAAAAAATAATACCTAGTGTTAGTGGCTAAGGAGGACGGAGGCGCCGCTATAGATGGCCAATCAGGCCGCCCGGCCCGGCCCGGCATGGCCCGTCAGGTGCATCGGGCCGTGCCGTGCCAGCCCACGGGCGACAACAATGGCCCAAGCACGGACCTAAAGGCCTCGGGCTGTGCTGGGCTGGCCTGATGGCCCGACGAGCCCACCATGCTCACGCCGGCCCGATTACTATTCACAGGAAAAAAAACCAATGAAAAATCGAATCTAAAGTTTAGGTACACACGAACTTCGAATCCAAGATAGCACACATAAAAATCGAATGAAATCCGACGCCGACGGTGTTTGGGAGGCGTCGCCGCGCCCGTGCGAAGCCAGGCAGCTGCGCCCGCGCGAGGCCGGATAGCTGCGCCACCGCTTGCTGGCCGCCACGGCCGCGCGCCGCTCGCTGGCCACCATGCGCTGCTCCACCGCGGCTCGCTGGCCACCGCGTGCCGCCGCTTACTGGACACGCGCGCCACCCCCTCGCCTGTGCTTGCGCCGCCGCAGTCACAGGTTGGGGTGGGGGAGGAGAGGAAAGTGACGGCTGCAGGGAGATGATAAGATAGCTAGGGTTTGATTTTTGATAGGGAATATATATGGGAGGTGTGTCTTCGGGCCGGGCCGGGTCGGCACGCCGTGCCGAGTGGGAGACCCAGGCACGGCCCTAGGGTCGGGCCGAGCCAGCTCGGGCCCGACAGCCACCGTGCCGTGCCGTGCTTGGGCCGGGCTAAAATGCCAGGCTCTGGGCAGGCCAACGGGCCTCGGGCCATATGGCCAAGTATAGGCGCCGCTGCTCGGCACTACTGATCTGGCTGAACATCGATGCCCCTCCACGACAAACTGATCCACCTCCTTCAGATTTAGGCTTCCCTTCGTCGACTGCCTGGTGGTGTGCTGCTGCCGACCTGCTCGGCTATGGAGTGCCGGCCATAACGGTAGTGCTAGCGCCCGGATGCCCGGACGGACGCCCACACGCTGCACTCCGTTTCGCGCGCTCCATGTGGGCCCGCACCGCCCGAGCGACAAGAGGTGAAGGGGGCGGCCCCTTCGATTTCGAAGGACCCGGCCGTGACATCGTATGGATGCCCTGCTGGCGCCAGGAGGAGGACACACTAAGACGATGCAGCAGAAGGCGAGGAGGAGAGATGCAACACCCGATCTGCTTTTGAAACATCCAAATACAACAGTTGCAACATACGTCTAAAGGCAGATGAAACACTTGAAACATACTTCTGAAACACTTGGAAAAAATACCTGAAAACACATGAAAACCATTTCAACCATATGCAACATCCAAATAAAACAAATGCAACGTATGTGTGAAACATATGCAATATCCAGATAAACTAACTTGCAACATGCATCAGGAAAACACAGATAAAACATTGGTAATAAACCTTTGCAACATCGGTGTACAACCATTGCAACATATGCAACATCTCGATGTACACTTTTCCAAC